TATACACTACTATACACTCCACACTACTATACACTCCACCCCACACACTATAGCCTACACTACTACACACTACACTACGAAACATTACTATACACTCCACACGACTATACACTACTATACACTCCACACCACACACTATAGCCTACACTACTACATACTACACTACGAAACACTACTATACACTCCATACTACTATACACTACTATACACTCCACACCACACACTATAGCCCACACTACTACACACTACACTACTATCCACTCCACACTACTATACACTACTATACACTCCACACTACTATCTACTACTATACACTCCACACCACACACTATAGCCTACACTACTACACACCACACACTATAGCCTACACTACTACACACTACACGACTATACACTCCACACTACCATACACTCCACACCACTACTATACACTCCACACTATACACTACTATACACTTCACTACTATACACTACACACTATACACCACTAATATACACTACACCACTATACACTACACTACTATACAATACACTAGTATACACCACACTACTAAACACTCCACACAATACATCACTCCTATACACTCTACACTATACACCACTACTATACACACCTCACTATACACCACTAATATACACTGCTACACACAATGCACCACTACTATATACACTACACTATACTATACACCACTAATATACACTACACCACTATACACTACACTATACACTACACCACTATACAATACACTACTATACACCACACCACTATACAATACACTAGTATACACCACACTACTATACACCACTATTATACACCACTATTATACACTCCACACTATACACCACTACTATACACTGCTACACACTATGCACCACTACTATATACTATACACTATACTATACACTACTACTATACACTCCACTATACACTACACCAGTGGCTCTTCTTAACTTGGGTTGCACGCTGCATCCCCTGGGGGTGCGAGACGCCCTTTCTGGGTGTGCGAGACGTGGCCAGATTGTTTTAGAAGGTAAATCATCGAATCACAAATTATAATCACGGGCACCTAGGTACAACTACTTTGTTTCATCAACCCCTATGTGTTTATAAACATTGTAGATTTGTGTTTACGACTGAGAACCAAAGGGGTGCAATGCTGCAGTTAAAGTTAAGGCCACTGGCCCTGACGGACGTTCCCAATGACATTTCACCCTCCGACGGAGGCCACGACGAATTTTCCCTGCACTCAGGAGCGGTTCGAACGCCTTCCTCTAACGAGGGCCTTCATAGGGGGGGGGGGGGGGCCACAGACTGACGCTCATCACGTGACGATTCCGTGATGTGCCGCAAATCAATCAATGCATCTGCCGGGCGTGAACCCCAGGATTAATAAATAATGCAGCGAACTGCTGGAAATGGTTCGGCAAAATATATTTTTTTGGTGGTGGGGGGGGGGATTTCAAAACCACGGATGACATTTAGTCGATGCGGTTACGCCTCTCGGCACTGTACATTTGCTCTCAAAACCGTCTGACCTTCCCATGTTACCTACACGTGGTGAATTACAGGTGATTTAATTATTGTACCACGTGTACAACAAAGACATCCGCCGTAGAGCCTTAACAGACTGCTGGGGCAAGTGCTGTTTGCGAGCACCTATATGAAAACAGGCACGGCCCACGAGGGGGTGGGTAGTCAACACCACGCCCGGCCGCCTTTGTCTCCCTAGTGGCGATTTTTCCACACCGTACCAGTCAACCTGGAGGTCGCCGGGTTCGTAGCGCAGCACGCTAACCGCGACACTACCGCTCCCCACGTATACAAAACACAGACGAGGATCCTCCGACCCTCGAGTAGTAAAGAATTGTGGTGCAAGTGCTGTCAGCGAGCACCTATTAAGGCCGACACGGCGCACGAGTGGGTGGTGTAGCGAGCACCACGCCCGGCCGCCTTTGTCTCACCAACATCGCAAAGGGAACAGTTCTCATATTCCTGGGTCTTTCGGTAAAGTCACGTATATAGGTTCAAAGAAAGACCCAATAATATGAATTACTGCAGTCACGAAAGCTTTAAGTCAGGAACAGTTCTCGTTTATTGCTGACCGAACGGAGGGCCAGGACCGGTTTGCATCATTGCCGCCGATTGTTGGGAGTGGCCCGGGAATCGGACTCACCCGGCCACCGCTCCATCACACAACGGAGACAAAGAGAAGCATCGCCCACGCAGCCTACACAGGTTGTTGGGGGACTTTAAGCGTTGTTAGCGAGCACCTACTCATGCCGGCACAGCGCACCGACGAGAGGGTGTGGTATGGCCAAAATCAGGCGGACTCGGCCGAAAATGAGTACCTGGTGAGATTTGTAAAAAAAAATGAAAGGGAGGGCTGGAGAGACCACATTCACACACGGGGTGGGCGGAAAGTCCATATACCCCATTCTTGTGGAGCCGTCGTTAAACTCATATGGGTGATGGGTACTTGGACTTCTCGGCCACCTTCCGTACAAATACGCCACTGTACAGCAGAGTCATGCGCAGGGCGCCCTGCGCGATCCCTGCCAGGTGCAGTCAATCACCCTAATTGAGGTGATCACCTCGTGCCTTTGTTCACGCAACTGAGCGCGATGCGGGTTTTTTTTTCTACACGGGAGAGCGAGGTTGCACCTGCCGTAACTATTCGATTAATTTATATTTTAATTGTCATCTGTCACGGCCCTTTGTCAATCCACTGCTGGATGGATTGCCTCCCCACACAGGTATATCGGTGGTGGGGATTGTTTTGAGAGGACGTCGTTTTTATATTCAGGCTAGTCTGCGCCAAAATCGGTTCAGATATCGTTCGCCACTGATATGAGCCGTGGCCGGGAATCAAACTCAGTTCGCCAAAGAATGTAGTGCCAGCGCGCTAACCCGCCGACGCTTCACTCACACTTTACTAAAAACTAAACTTTTTTTGTATACCAGGTAAGGCCCGCCGAGCTATGTAGCTCATTTTCAGAAGCGATCAGACCACAAATGATAGCTCAACGAAGTGGACATGTATAGCAGCCAAATACTCGAAACGCATATTTCTAAACGGAGGGAAAAACCAAATATACAGCAGGCGTAAGGGTCGGGATCGAACCCACCACCAAAAGAGGTGGATAACATCTCGCCACCGTGATAACATCAATGGCCTTTGTTTACCAAAGAAAGCCTCACGGAATTTTTTTTCAGGAGGGTACAACATTGATCGGGATGTTGGGCCAATTGCGTTTGGCGAGTGTTAGTAGGGTATCATTGATGGTCCGTGGAACTCGCACTCAGACGAGTGGGTAACAAAGGTGTCAGTTTTTGTGCCAGTTAAAAGGGTAAAACCTATTCCTAAAGCCCAAAGGGTTCTACGGATATATCCAAGAATCCATTATTGCGCTGCACTGCCATCTCTTGTCCATCCCGTCACGCTAAGCCAACAACAAATCAGCCAAGTATACCTCCTAACCAGGCTCAACACCCCTGCTTAGCTTCCAAGATCCAGCGAGATCGGACGCATGAAGACTGACTGGTATCGTCGGATAGTTAACGCGGTGGTGGCAACAACGTCGCAAGAATAATAGAACCGCGCTCACACTCCGCGCTCTTGAGAAATATTCAGCTCATAAACTAAACACTCAACTATTTTATTTTACCAGGTAAGGCCCCGCTAAGCTATATATATTTTTTTCAGAAACGACCTGGCTATCATAAATGATGGTTCAACGAAGTGGCTCATCTCGTGGAAATGTATAGCGGCCAAATACTCTAAACGCATGTTTATGAATGTGAAGGGGAAAACCCGGAGGGCCCAGAGAAAATGTCACGCGACTACGGGGAGAGAGACACGCCAGCTCCAAATATAGAGCAGGCGTCAGGGTCGGGATCGAACCCACAACTTCCTATATACCAGACGAGAGAGTTAATATCTCGCCACATGAATACAATAGATGCTACTGTTGTATACTTTGTGTAACGCGGAGATGATGGAGACACGTTAAACAGCATTGCCTCTTTTGAATAAGCGACCTGGTGTGTAAACAAAGCGTCAATGGGTTGGCACAGAAAAGGCTCTCACCATGATGTGGAACACTTAAAGAAAAAACGAGGTGCCCTGCTTGTGTATGTGTGGAGCCAGCTTATTGAGATGTTAACCCATAACACCTGGATCTGTTCCGTGACCTCCAGCCAACGGATATTCGACACTTTTAAAAGTGGCCTAAAAGAACACCTCGCCCGGCACAAGCGCTGCCGCTGCATTGTGACCGACTCGCAGGGTTGCGACTGGTAACAATTATATACACACACACACATAACTCACCACTCTGATCATAATTACCATTGCCTTATTAGAGATACAGATACAGGTAGGGCTAACGTTTCGAGCAATTGGCCCTGCTGTAAAGACCATAGCCCGTAACGGTTGTGGTTGCGCAGAGTGATGCAAATTACGGTGATGTTATGGAAGGACTAGGCGGCTGAAATGTGGCACACAAGCCTATGCTTAGAACTCTGAATATATAGCCCTGTAAATGAGGCCGCTGAGGTTGATTGTTTTCACACACAGGACAGACTCGGGGCTAAAGTTGCCGGCTCCCTATAGCTTTGGCGCTACACTCGCAACACCGCACGCACACACGAGCCCCATCATCAGCGAACCAAGTAATTCGCCTCCCGTGGAGTGAGACGCTACCTGAGGTCGCTCTAAAGTGGGAAGAAGCTGCTACCGGTCACGAGCGCTCCCCGTAATCTGTATCGAACATTGTGGCCAGCGTATAATACGTGCGCGAACGAAACTGTCAACACAGCCTCGAATACCGTGCGAGATTTATCTGGGCGAGACAACGCCGCCCTGCCTACTAAGCTCACAACAACAACAGCAGCAGCACAGGTGAATATAACACCGATCCATGCAACGCGCGTACACCATCCACCGACATCAACGCAAACATATGGTTTGAATGAGAGGCGGTGTGTGTTGGCTACTCACATTTTGTTAGAGGCACTCCAGTAAATAGGCTCGAGCACTTCGGCATAAGACGTGGTCGGTGCCCTGGCGAGAGCCAGCAGCAGTAGCACCCAGCACATGTGCGTGCGCATGGCCCTACAGCCGGAGCAGGACATCGCTCGCGACTCCCTCTGCTCCTCCACTCCTGCTCGCCGGACGCCGGTGTTGTATGCGCGGCGTGTGGCGATGCCGACGACGAAGACGACGACGGTGGCTACCGCCGCCGTTAGCGACGGTGATGTTTTACAGCAGTCGTCGAGGTCTGTCCGCCACATCAACGCCCATGCGGTGGCACGGGAAACGCAGAGGGAGTGCCTCGCGACCGTTTGGCGAACGTCGAATCGCTCCGAAGCTCCCTACGTGCGCGAGCTATGGTGTCGACGCGACCTTCATTGACGGGGCCTTCGGTAGCGGCTGCTCCTGGTGCTGGTGGCGTTGATGAAACAAGGGGTTGTTTGGTTGCCTTTGCTCCGACGCCGAACCACCTCTCCCGTTTCGTCTCGTCCCGCGTCCTTACTCCGTCTTTGTCTTCCTTTGTTCCGAGTCGCGTCGCTGGGACGATGGCAGCGCGCTCACAACTGGAATGCGGCGAGCTGGTCGGCAGTAGTTAGTCGGTAATGCGGGTAGGTAGAAGGTAGGCAGGGTTTATGAAACTCCGGGTGAGCTCGCCGTGCGCATTTCCTCTCGCTCGCAAAGGTTGCCCCCTCCACCCCTCCACCCCTCCGTCGAGGAAGATGCGAATCCGAGACGAAGCGAGCGGCAGCCTCAACTTTCCTCGTGCAGCGCGTGAACCACAGGCGGCAGCTTTCGCTTCCTTCTCTTTGCCCGCTCAAAGCAGCAGCAGCAGCAGCAACAACAAAAACCCCACACCGACGATGAGACTTTTACCTACGACGATGATGCCCGTGGCAGGCGATTCCGGTAGTTTGGGAGTGAAGATCTCAAGCCGATGACAACACCGCCGCCAACCCGAACTCCACGTCCCCTGCGTTCTTGCTTCTCAGCGGCACTCGGTGTGTTCCAAGGAGCGCTGAGCAGCAGCAGCAGCAGGAGCAGCAGTAGTGAGCGACAGCACCCACACCTCCCCAGGCTAGTTGTAAGCAGTAGCTACGTAGCAGTAGCTGGAGTAAGGGAGTAGTAGCATCTGCCGCAAAAGTTGCCAGCCTTGCCTCTCTTTATATACACACACACACTCCTAAGCGTGTCCTCGCCGCGCTCACGCTGCTAACACGTAGCTGCTGTACGCGTGTGTGTATACACACACACACGCGCCGCGCTTGGAGGAGCAGCCTCTCTATGGCGAGAGCGTGCGCCCGCGGAGAGGAGCTACAACCACTGGCGTGCAGATGAGTGCCAAGTCGGACTCGTTGAGCCGGGGCGCGCTCGCTGGCTCAGCCACTCGCCCATTGGAAGCGGCAACGTTCGCGCTCGCGCTCTGCCAATGGATCGGCGTCGTATGGGGCTGGGCCCCCGAGAGGACGGGCTGGGAAGGGTTGAGGGTGGCGATGGGGAGGGGAGAGTGGCGATGGGGAGGGGCGGTGGATAGGAGGTGAATGGATAGAATGGGGGGAGGGAGGGAGGAGGAGAGTGGTGGAGGCAGCGGTGGGGGCAAGTCCCGCGAGACAAGGAGTGTATAGAGAGAGGCAGGGATCATTAAATCCTTGCGTTTTCCCCACTCATTCGCCCGCGTTAAGATTTTTGTTGTTACACCCAAATCGAACGTCGCGCGCGCCCGCGCTCGCAGACAGAGCAGCGACAACGCGCGGCTCCGCTGTCGCCGCTCTGCGAGTGGAGCAGCAGCGCGCAGCCGCGCGCTTTGTCCGCGCAGCCGCGCGCACCGCTCCGGACGCGGCTGCGTAACGCGCGCACAGCACGCGGGCTCGCTCGTGCCGTGCACGCCGAGTGCGGGGAGCGGTGGCGCAGCGGTGAACGGCGTTGCGCGCGCTACGAACACGGCGGGCGGGCTGAGTTCGATTCGCGGCACCGGTCCAACATCCCAGGGCGGCTCGGGGCCTCGAATGGGGGTACCTGTTGCGTTGCGTGAACATCGGCAAACCGCGAGAGACAAAGGCGGCCCGGTGTGGTGTCGGACCACATATCGCGTCGTTCGTGCGTCGACGTAGCGGCCTTAATAGGTGCTCGCTGACTTGCACTTTCCCGCTCCACAACACTCAGTACAAACCGTACGGGGGGCATCTTTGTCTTGGCGGTATGGTGTCCTCGCTTGGTATGATGCCTCGCTTGGTATGATGCCTCGCTTGGTATGCTTCGCTTGGTATGATGCCTCGCTTGGTATGATGCATAGCTTGGTATGCTGCCTCGCTTGGTATGATGCCTCGCTTGATATGCTTCGCTTGGTATGATGCCTCGTTTGGTATGATGCCTCGCTTGGTGTGATGCCTCGCTTGGTGTGATGCCTCGCTTGGTATAATGTCTCGCTTGGTATGAAGCCTCGCTTGGTATGAAGCCTCGCTTGGTATGATGTCTCGGTTGGCACGCGCAAAATGGCGAAGCGAAGAGGTCCGATACGCTCCGAGATTTAGGCGAGGCGACCCATTATTAACCCCCTTTTTAATTTACTTGTTTCCCCCAATGAGCCCCCCCCCCCCCACCCATCAACATCTTTTTAATGGAGATGTTTTTTTTAACGTGCAGAGAGTGGGCCACGCATCAAGCTGCATGACACACGCTGAGTGATCCGTATACAGATACTCCACTCATACAATAAGAGACTAAGAGAAGATGGCATTTTATTTCAAAGTGTCCACGCGTCTCCCACCAATCTCAATGCACTTATTAAATATGTTAACACTCTCCTCTGTGTAAGACATGGATGGACCCATCGTTTTCACAATACGTAATCACCTGTTGGGAAGAATGTAATTAAGGGGTGGTTCGAAATCAGTATGGTGTAGATAAATGGATCACCGCCATATAATGTCAATCCACTGCTAGATGATTAAGCGCGGCAGAGCAGTGGATTGTGGCATTGCCCTCTGCTGCCAACCGCTTCGCCCCAAGTCGCCTATGACACACTGGCATGCACGAGCGGTGTCCAGGCTCATCGCCTGCTCATCTTCCGAGATCTAACGAGATTGGGAGAAACCCCCAAGCGGGCACGCACACACGGAGCGGGGGTAACGCTCAAACGCTTTCGCGAAAACAGAAGACAACTTTGAGGACCCTACTTGCTGTACTGCCATCTACTGGCGGGTGGAAGTTGTAAGATCATCTTAGTCCATTGGAAACCTCACTTGCCAGTAACAAAATATGATAATTGGTTTTTCACCCTTTTATCTGGCAACAAAACTGACACCTTTTTTTACAAGGAGTCATGTTTACATTGACCACAATACCTGCGGTCGGAACGCAAACAAAAACAACAACTCTGATAATGTATGCACTGTCCTTGTGCACTGTCCTTGTGCATACATTATCAGAGTTGTTGTTTTTGTTTGCGTTCCGACCGCAGGTATTGTGGTCAATGTAAACATGACTCCTTGTAAAAAAAGGTGTCAGTTTTGTTGCCAGATAAAAGGGTAAAAAAACAATTATCATATTTTTTTACTGGCAAGTGAGGTTTCCAATGGTGTAAATGCTTACCCCGAGCTCTCATACTCTGATGGTGCATTGCCTTTGAGTTGTGCGCCTTTTAGCGTCTTCTGGTCCAACACCATGTGAGACGAGGCTCTAAAGAAAGCTGTCTCGGGTGTGGACCAATCAATTTCAAGGACAGTGCATATTATTATCAGAGTTGTTGTTTTTTGTTTGCGTTCCGACCGCAAGTATTGTGGTCAATGTAAACATGAATCCTTGCAAAAAAAGGTGTCAGTTTTGTTGCCAGATAAAAGGGTAAAAAACAATTATCATCAACTTAGTTATTCCCACCAACATTTGCCTCCAAAGGGCTACTAGACTCAACGAATGCACGCCACGCACATTTTGTCCCATTGCACGTACACACACGCACGCACATGTATTTACAGCATGCGTATATCTTTGCAGATATATTAATTCGGTGTATTTTTCGGTAAAGTCACGTAGGTAAAAAAATAAAAATGAAAACAACTAAAACAAATCACGACGTTTCGGAGGCAACACAAGCTTCCGTGACTTTACCGAAAGAGCCAAAGAGTATGGATCCTTGCAGTCACGAAAACTTCAAATCTAGACATGTGATATTTTAAAGCCCGACGTATGGCCCAGCTAATGCTAAGTGACAGAGTTTGCTCAGGAAGGGTGATTATGGCTGCGGTGATTTGTGAACGGACTGAGGCCATCAAACTCACTCATCACGGCCGACTGAACCCTGGAAATCAAAGCCAAGGATACGTTTCACACTTTTTTAGCCACTGTTAAACCTAACCCAGAATTGGCAATGTTAAACATAATCCAGAATTGGCAATGTTAAACCTAACGCAGAACTTGAAGGCAATGTTAAACCTAACGCAGAACTTGAAGACAAGAGTAAAACATATCCGCATTCGTGTAAACTCTAAACGTCAGACCACTTTAACTTAGCACGCGATTTGACCAAAATGCCTAGTAGCTGTCGTCCTCATTTAAGACGCGGCCGTTGTTACATTACTTTGAAGATCGTTAATATAATAAATTATTTATAATATATAAATTCGATATGTTCCGGAGCTCGGCCCCGGACAGCTCTGGCTGAATTAAAACCTTGATTATAACCATTATCAAATGGATGACATTCACATTCCCCGTCTTCCTCTCTCTTTCTCTCTCCCTCCACTCTCTCTCTCTCTCCTCTGTCTCTCGTTCCGAACACGAAATCGCTTTCTTTACTCTGTTGTCTGCAGTCAGATTGATGGCTTTTAAAGCGCCAACATTCACGGCTAAGTGCAGATGAGTGACACGGAGAGCGGCTGCGTAAATCACGTGATCGCGCGAGCTCCGCGTTTCTTGACCACGTGGAATAAATCTCCACGATCTATCGAATTTTCGTGCCGCCGCGTGGCCATAACCACGCGGGCCCTTTTCTTTCCTTCGACTGTACGATCACATCACCGCGAAAGCGCCCCGAACCGTGTCGGTTCTCGGAGGCTCAGAGCGGGGACTTAGTAGCCTACCCCGGGTGGGTGAACATCAACGCGGCTTGCCATGGTGCTGTAGTACGTGGTGGGGGCTGCAGAGGATGTGGGTCACAAGATGGCAAGCGCTGAGTGTCACCTCCTTGTACGTCCGGCGGACTTTCTCCGCGTGCTCGGGGTTCCTAGCGCACGAAGCCATTCGCTGATTCATAGAATTGGTCAAACTTCCAAACGTGAACAAATCATGAAGTGTTGAGAGGTCAGCGAAGCTTTCGTGGGTAAATTGGCATTACGTTTTATATTACAAAGAGTCACGCACAGATGAATGTATCATATATATATACACATTTATATACGGAATGATGAATTCAGGTCGTGTGTAGGAGCTATATTAATTGATGTATCGTGAGACTGACAGATGACACAGGCTTCGGGAGGCTTTCATCCAGCAGTAGATAGATCACGGTTGGAGATATATATTTACGACAGTGTTTACGGATAGGTAAGGGTTTACACCAATCAATGCATATGCTCATGCACTGTGCTACGCCGCGTGTACGCAGAATTAGAATTGCAAGGTGACCAGAATAACCCGGGCAAAATCCAGGCCATCTTATTGAGGGTTGATGAGACAATACCGGCACTAGCTATGCATATCAGAATAGCGATCATCATGATGATGAATACCCAACGATAGACGCGTATTGTCAATCGAATAATGTTAATGTTTAACACGTAGGATTTCGCGACCAATATTATTCACGACTCTGGCTCTCGCCTGATGATGCTGGTTGTAATTACCGGCAAAACGTCGTACCCGAATTGTAAATGTTGTGGGTTTACTCTCCAACACACCGTTGTGCTGAACTAGTAACGAATTGGCACATTTTGTTTACGTGACAACCCTTACTAATTGGCTGTGTCGGGTGGTGACAGGTTTAACAACACATTTATATTTACGCGATCTAACCCAAAAAAAAAACCTTCATTATGGAGAACATTGTGAATTGATTGTGCCAAGAGATGTTGTTTTAACAAGTGTTTTCCTTTGAGGCTAATGTTGTGTTCATGATTTTGGTCGTTTTTAACGCAACTGAGAACACGTGTCTGTAATTAACACGTGTTCGATTCGCACGCGAGTTTCCCTGCGCAATCGCAACTTGCGTCTCAATGGCCTCCCCCACCACCACCACCTCTCCTTTCTCCCGGTCAGAAACGGGCACATTCCACGTACGCAATAGTATGTCAGCGCTACCACCGCCGTCCAAGAGTGCTAAGACAAATAAGTGACGTTTTGGGCAGGACACGTCACGACTTTCGATGGGATGATGACAGACGGAGAAGAAAATTGACATTAGCCAGACGTGGACTGCGACGAGTCCGTGAATACGTGGACCGAGGAGATGTGAGCGACGTGTATGTGTATACACATGTGTGTGTGTGTGCCAACACACACACACATGTGT